AATACAATATGTACAGTGGTATGACAAAAAGAAAAGAAAGAACAAAGCAGAACGAAAGAAAAGTAGAAAAAATAACTGCATGAGAGATATGGTTGACACCTACTCGGGAGAATTCATCACTGTGATCCGACTTTAGCGAATCTGCATTTCGTTCCTGAAAGTAGATCATTTATTTTCAATTTCAATGTAAAAGGATATCTCGATATTGAACACAAGTTGACTGGATAGCTGATCATATTCACTGTTCAGATTTAACATTCAATATGACGATAATCTATTGAAATTTTCAGTTCCAAAGAATCAAAACTGCACAAAGTATGAGATTTTTTCGTCCTGAATATTACAATTTGAAGGATCTTAGCCAATCACATTTGGCTAAAAACAATCAAAACGGCTCAGCTGAGACATGGCTCACCTGGTAGTCTTGGATGAGAAGCTTGTCGGCTTCATCGAGTACGAGCATCTTGCAATATGACATGTCGGCCACTCCTTTCTCCATCAAGACAAGAATACGTCCCGGAGTGGCTATAACCATATGCACAGCGCCATTCAAGTGCATTATCATCAGGAACATCGATACAACCAGTGGTCACCATAATCTAGAGCAATAATACTGCTGAAACTCTCAATTGGCTGTGGCTATCACGTCAAGACTGAGCCTTAAACAAACGAATTCGAAAGGTCACTAACCTCCAGTTTGATATGTTTCGAAAGTTCGACACAGATCCGAGACGTGTGAAGAGCCAGTTCTCTGGTAGGCACAATGACAAGCGCCGTATCTTCTTGATAGCAGCATTTACCTTCTCAATGACCGGGATGCAGTAGGCGCCAGTTTTGCCAGTTCCATTCTTCGCACGTGCAAGAATGTCCTGACCTAGAAAGTCGAAACTATTCTTTTTGATGAAGGAACTCGATTACATTATAAAAATCTAGAAAATGAGTTGCTAAAGATATCAAACTAGAAACATGACGTTTATTCTCAAAATTATCGATCGTCGTTTTTTATTTGAACAAGTTGCAAATCTCTAGCGTAATGAACTCATTCTCTTTCCCATTTTGCAGTTCTCAGACTCTAGCCATGACTTCATCTAGGTAGTAAATCGCAATAAAAACAAATTCATTAACTTCGACAAACGCAGACTTACACAACATGAGCACGTGAATGGCGCAAAATTATGTTTCTTTCCCTGCTTTTATTTACCTAATCAACATCAAGCAATTAGCAAACTTGGCTGATTGGCCCAACACTCAACAAGAGTCAAATTACTTTTATTAGATACGATCACTAACAGACTAATGATAGGCCCTGGCCATACTTCGCTCAAAAGCGCCCAAAAGCGCCGCAACGCCCCCTCCATGGAGGCATTATCAAACTTGGCGCTTTTGGGCGCTTTTGACGAAGTATGGTCAGGCCTAAGCTACACTCGATGATCGGACATACTAAAAGAACATTATAGAGCTAACTTGCTACACACACAAGAAAAAGGTGTAAAAAAAGACTCAAACTATGATCACAAGTAAAAAGGAATAAAAAGCAACTTGTCACTGCGTAGTCCTTTGCCTGACATTTTTGGCCGCCGATCTCTTTTTGAACTCGATAGGGCCTTTTACCTGTAAAGAAGATAATCTAATGCCGAGTAAGTATACACAAGCTAGCATACCTCTTTCGTCAGATTAGCGCTGGTCTTCTCTGTAAATTCTACCAGCTCGAGTTTTTACTCAAGCTTCTCTCTCGCCTGTTTCTATTCTTTGTCGCTCTTCCTCAGCTCGATATTTCTCAGTCAATGATGAGAGGACATTTCCCTGAACAAATTTCTGTTATGTGAGCGAGGACTTGAGGTAGGAAACAATGGAATGTCTGCAAATTACGAACTTATCAG